GTCAAAATGGCATCACTTTGTTCTTCGCTAAATACCCGTCGTTGTTGTGATGTGCTGGGATTCTGTGCCTGCATTCACAGAGGGCTTCTGACATCCTCCTACCTGAACTCCTCTCTCTCTGGTTTCTCCCCTTCCCATGTGCAATGAGCTCTGTTCCCTTGCTCCGTTCCTCAGCCGTCCACACGTGTTGTCAGTGCAAACAGTGACTGGCTGTAGGACCTTTAGCATGTGCTAACTCTCCAGTTTTCCATGAATTAATGGAAAAGATTAATTTCTTGGGGATTCCAGTATTGCTTAAAAAAATAACAACTGGCTCTTACAATATCTGAAGCAATTCACAATGTCTGGCCAGGAAACAATATTCATAGAATCATAGACTCATATTGCATGTTGATATTTTTCTGTTCAGCACTTAAAGCATTTGTCTGTTCTAAGGCAGCTTATTTGGGGGCAAGACTTCTGAAACATGCTTTAGGCTCATACGATTTTATTTGTGATTCTAGTTTAAGTGACTTCATTTTGAGGAAACACTAAACCTTTGGCAACTCTTATTGGTTTTAGCTTTTGTCTTTACCGTTCGAAGTTCTCAGCATCTCTTCAAATCTCTCTATTCAATGCAGCAAAGGCAGCTTTTTGATAAGCACGAGCAGGGGCACAGCAAAGTTACTTTTTCAGTCTAAATGCTACCATTTTGTCATGATACCTGCACAGCAAGCTGGAGGGTTTTCAGAAAAAGTACTATACAGTCTTGTCATTCAGAGAAACTTCCTACAGCAAGTAGCTCCTGTGATTTAAGTGCAATTACCTGCTCACAACTGTTGCAAAACTGGGTTCTCAGGACACGGAGCTGCCCCCAGCCAGCTCCTTTTCCAAACAAGCACTTGCATGTTGAATTCCTGAAACCTGAAGCAGCCTTTTTCCACATCCAACGTTTTTTAGAAGCAGTGACAGCTGAGATCCTGTGAAAACACATGTAAACGCAAAGTCTCTGTTTCCCCCTGCACATGGGGCACCCCCCTCCTCCTCTTGGGGTACCCAGTGCGGTGATTATGGGAGAAGTGAGTAGTGACCAGCTCTTCCCCTGACTGATGGCAAGGACAGACGCTGTATTTGCAGAGCAGTGAGGTGTAGTCGTTTGAGGGAAGCCTGTGCTGATGAGCAAGGGAGGTGGATAGAGTAAGGGCTCTCGTAATGGCCTTCACCTTTCCTGGTAGCTGCCGTAACCCAGAAGGAATACATCAAATACTGTTTTCAGTGTGTTGCCCAGTTTGAGATGGTTTCACCGCTAAAGCTGTGCCTGAGGTGCACTGTTCTGTCAGGCTGTGTGCTGCCATAGTCCTGTTCTTCCTCCTGGGTTCCTTGGCTGCAGCGTGTGCCTTCCCCAGCCAGCTCCATCCCATGGGCAGGGCTGGCGGCTCCCAGGCAGACAGTGATTCCAGAGAGGGTTTTTCCATGAGGAAGCGGCTGCCGCAGCGGGACACATCTGTTCTGTCGGTCCCTGAGAACACATTTCCATGGCGAGGGCTGTCTGTCTGTCTGTCTCTGAAAGCACCTAACACTCGGTTCACGTTTCTCCCACTAGGTCATCCTCTTTCAGTACTGACTGCGCGAACTCTTCCTCATCTGCCCATGGCGCTACCAGCACCACTGCCCCTCAGCCGCTGAAACACAGCGTCCAGCCCAAGGCAACTGTTATCAGTCATGCAGGAGAAACTCAGATCCAGCATTCTCAGTTCTTTCCACTGACCAGCACCTAACATCCACTATTATTTCTCCAGCGACACTCTGTGTATGTGTGTGTTGAGTGCAGAATTACATTTTTCACTTGTTTCTTGTGGACTTGTAGAATGACCGTGAGTCTCTCCAAGGCGATGCCAGACACAGTCAAAATTAGTGACTCTACTGTGCTTGCAAATCTTGCTCCCAAACCCATGGGAATATGAACAAACCAGAACATGCTGAGTCTCGGGGTGGGGGGGTGTGTCGATGATCACCTCTGAACATAAAGGAAGGAGGAATTTCTGTGGTTTGGCCTGATTCTCGTTTTGCACCAGTGAAGCGCTGTCAGTTCCCGGACATCCCTCCTTATTTCCACTTGCATGTGTGAAATCCGAAATGAGCTTTTTGGCTCAGCAACTCGATGTATACACAGATCTTCCTGAGCCAAACTCGCAGGTAGCTGAGACTCCACTAAGTGGAAAACACGATGCCAGCTGGAAATAGGCAGTTTTCCTTCCTCCTCAAAGTGCTTTAGAATCACATGTCCTTTGATCACTCTAAGGTAAGTAAATCTTAGTGGTTTTTCCCCCCGTTTTATAGGAGGGGAAACCAAGATATCCTAAACTGAGAAGAACCGTGGGGGTTGGTGGCAGAGCCAGGTTTAGCACCCTGAAGTTTTTGATTGCTGACTTGTTCTTAGAACACTGAATCTCGCTCTCCTTCTCCTCTCAGAGCCATCTGCCAAATCTTCTTGTTTTTTACTCTTGTTCTTTATTAACAAGCTACTTTAATTCCTTGAAGTCGTATTGGATCACAAATGGGTGATTGCAGAATGTACCTGCACAAAACTCTCAGACACTGCGTACGCTGGGAGCGGGAAATCCTCAACGGATGCTGGTTGTAAAGGCGTAGAAATGTTCTGCCCTGGTGTGGACCCAAGTTCAGTCAGTGGAAACACTGGGGTAGAAATGGGGGACTGGTTAAAAGGCAAAACCCTCGGCAAAGCCAACAGGAACAGTTGCTAGCTGAGTGGACAGCAAGGTGATGGCATATTGCTTTATCTGGCAGCATCACTCCGATTCCCTCTACCCTCCTGTTGTTCCCCATTGCTGGAGTATGGCTGTTGCTGCTGCCAAGCCCTTGGAGGAAGGTGCAGCCCGGGAGGGCTGCTGCTGGCGGGGCAGGCACCACAGGGCTCATTGCGACAGCAAAGGAAGTGCTCAGCAGTCTGGCCCCAAATCAGGAAAAAAGCTCCGAAATGATCCTTCATTGATGGTAATAACAAAAAGTAAACGAGTAACCTTTGCCAGCCCTTCTCAGTTTGCACCAAGCCAAGAGCAGGTCTGTAACAAAACCTCTCTCCACGCAAGCACATGGGTCTGTCTTGCTGCTAAGTGTCTGTGAGGCCGCGTTTCCAAGAATGTGAAAGCCTACTATGAGCCACAGTTAGTGCGTAATAGGACTGAACTGTGCCTGAGGACCAGAAGACAGGAATCCATTGGTTGCATAAGTTGTTTTTAGTTTGAACTCTAGATACGTGTATTTTTCTCTGTGGATCAATCTCCATCGGGTGGGCAGCTATCCCAACGGCTTGGCCAGCCCCTGTTGCACACGTGGCAAGGCTGTGCCCACAAGCTGCGAGTGTGACACTGATGGCCAGATGTGTGGCTCCAGCTGTAATCACGAGGTGCGCTCGCTGCTCTGACTGCGTGGGGAATGGCGTCAGGAGAGGTGGGTGTCTGGTGAGGTGGCCACTAAGAGATCTTTGAGAAGTAACTGAGTACAAGCATGCATTGATATGTGTTGGAACAAATATATATATATTATATACATGTGTGTGTGTGTATAT